TTTGGTGTCGCGCTTGGTTTGAACGGCAACTGAGTGTATTTCTTTGAGTCTGGTCCTTTCAACACTGGTGGTGCATCTGGAATTTGATCCATTCGGGCGTTTATTTTCCTCATAAACCGCATGAGTTTGATTTTTAAGGGATCACTCTCGTTGTTGTTACCGAATCTACTGCAATTCCCATCGGACCCATCGCAGTCGACCTTGCCCCTCGAGGTGTTGTTGTCAACCCTCTGCGTTGTTTGATTTACGGGAGCACCGGGAGGAACTAGACCTCGTCCATTCACGTTGTTGGAAGCACCTGGCAACTCCTGCTTCAACTCCGTCATGACCTGATCCTGTCCTGTGAGATGGCCTATAATTGCCTTTTGTTGCTCTCTCAAGATCCTTACTGTTTCAACGACGACTTCAGCATCATCAGGAGTCCTTCCAAAAATGTTGCGGATACTGCCCGCAATGGACCGGCGTGGCCTTATCCTCTTTGTTGCGGGTATCACTGATTGAATCTTCTTGCCGAGGCTGATTTCCTTGGGCCTCAACGTTGTGTACGATGTTGACACTGTTATCTGTCATTTTCTATGATTTTTGCTAAGAACAAATAATCAAACGAGTTAGTAATAGATGCAAGGATCAACTCAATTGCACAACTGCCTAAGCCCCACGGTGGACGCCAAACTGTTTACCCCTTAAATGGTATAGTTGAATAAATACGTGGTTTATAGACAAGTGAATCGATTTGATCCTAAAATGATAAATAATTAAACAAAAATGTAAGACTTAGCCTTGAAGTTGAGGTAAAATAGCAGATATCATGGTTCGGGAATAGAGCTTCCAGAGGCAGTAATAGCAATATAAATAAGCAAGAAGGTAAAATTGTATTGAGCTTTGAATAGAGTATAGTATATGTTTTTCAAATAATTTGTGTCCTTTAAATGGTTGTAGAGCCCACTATTTATAGTTGCGCCTAGAGAACAAGGTGCTAGGATCAAGCACTTTTGAATGACAATTATGAGGCCCATTGAGAAATATGTAACTGTAGGCAGTGAATGTCACATTCTTTGTAACGGCCCGTGCACTTAATGCTATATAATATTTTTCATTAAATGCTATCGGGTGATAGGTTATTTAATTCGCCTTTATGACTATCATTTTCTTTGAGATCGTTGCATTCGGACCTGACTGTCTTCGGCTACACGTGTCACTTTCTCATGCGATCATTAAATATGAATATATTTTACCCTATATAACTTTAGCATTGAATTTTGAATTGTAACCTTGTCACCATTAAAATGATAAATATTTATCTGTTAATTGGTAAGTACTTATTAAATTACTTTTACTCGTAAGAAATTTGTAAGAAAATGATAACTAACATTGTGAAGCTTTGCGGCATTTTGGCAGCAACGCCTGATTTTGCGCAAAGCTTGTCTTGCCAGTAATTGCGGTTGCAAATGGGCACAGAATACTTGGGGAAAGGCCTCATTTTGATGCCTTATCAATAACGAGGGAAGCCGTTTATTCTGTTGGCGTATAAAACCAGATTTCCTAGTATATACACATTCTTTTTCAAACTATCCAATTGATTATGGGTCTTCGTTATTTTTAATACATTGATAAGGTTCATTTCGTCTGGTCTAAGAAATTAATTGCACAAAAAAATGTATCGGGGTGATTTCTTTTCTCAACAACTTGATTCTACTCGTTTTCAAGAGATGTTAATTGTTTCAGATGTCAAAGCCTAAGCCACTCGATGTATGCATTCACACAATTACACAAACCTAACATGTTTGGTCAAGCTTCTTCTTAGTAAAACATATTGTTCTCTTTTTAAAGTTAAGACGTTTGGCCCCCTTTTTAGAAGGAAAAAAAGTGTGTTTGAGTAGAAGCATAAATAATTTTTAAGAAGTAGAAAAAAGTAGTTTCTACCTAAAAGTACTTTTTATAGAAGCACTTATGAGAAAAATACACTTGAAAACACATTTTAAAAGCTTGGCTAAATACTAATAACGGATCAAAAGTGATTTTCAAATTTATGCCAAACATAAATTTCTTCTTATCATAAGTGCTTTTTTTCAAAAAAGCACTTTTAAAAAAAATATTTTTTAAAATTAGCGGATTTGAGAAGGTTAGCCAAATTAGCTATTAATGTCTATACCCAAAAACAAAAGGGGTGAAAATGATAGGTGGGGAGAGGCGTATCTAGGATTTGATATGAGTTCCTAGTGTCTGACCAAAAAATATAAACTTTCGGTTAAACTATTAAATTTTATATAATAAGGAGTTAAACTTAGTTAATGATAATATCTCTAGATTTAGAACTTGACGGCATGGATAGCGTAAGATAAAGTTGGTGGAAAACTTAAAGTAATGCACATTTAATATTTCAAAAGATGTCAGCAATAATCGAGGAATATCAAGCAATAAATAGCAACAAATGGGATTTATGTAAATAAGGAGAATTATTCACCCAATAAAATGAGATAGATTAGTATTCCTTCTGACAATGATGAATGACAGGCAGATCCTAGAATGTTTGAACTATTCTCGGATCTGATGGAGAAGTATGGAATAATGTGAGCAAAAATATTGATGAAAAGGTAAAGTTTGTATCTTTTCTAGAGAGAGAGAATCTCCTTCTCAAAAAGTGTTGTTATCAAGTGAATATTACATGTCCTACACTATTGTCTCTTTTTCTATTTATATGAGTCATATCCCTAACAAACTCTAATAGTACAAGTGAAGAGAATATTCAGTAGAATATTCTCTTTACTATCCTATTACAAAAACTAGCCGTTATTGTTCTGCGCTTGGTGCTCGACCTTGATCGTTGTTGACTGCCCGCCCACGAATCTCACTGCTTCTGGTCGACCTCGACCGATCCTTTCCTTAATGCTGCTTTACGCTAAATTTCCTTAGGGCAGATTTTGACCTATACATCTAGCGATCTCAAAAATTGTCAATCTCCTTTACCGTTGAACCAAGAGCTGTTTTCAATTCTGGGTTCCCAACTTAAAATTCACATATACTGAAGGTATTTCTCAATGCAAATACAAAATCCCTATAAAAGTTACTGGATTCTCGGGAACCCATACACAATACTATAGGTCCATCCCTGAGCGGGGGCCATGGCAGAAAGCCCATGGTTATTGCTCATGCAAGTGAGAGACAGAGAGTGAGATACTAGCTCCGAGTACCATAACTGAAGATCACATCATTGGGATTTGTGCAGTGCATTGTAGCAATCACATATTTGCATGTTCTTCCCCAAATATTGCATGAAGGCAACATATAATTAATTAATGGCCCCTATACTCCTATTGGTATTCTTTTTAATGTAGCGTAGGGCTCCGTTTTGCGGCTAAAAAGGCATGGGATTTCCCAACTTGCATAACCTCGGGACCTTTTCCTTCAATTTGCATCTATGAGGATTCTCGATATCAATTACTTATTTAATTATTTTTTCGTTTACTTTTATTTGTCCGCTATACTAAAATTATATTTTTATTTATAAATAATTATCTAATAATGGATGTCCATAACTCATAAAGAAGTAATACCCATTACTTTTCTTCATTATATCCATAACTCCCACTACTCCAATACTTATGGAGTTATGATTGTAACTCACATACTTCCATAACCTCCCTATGATCTTCCTCCATGATCTCAAATGTTTAATATCATGTTTATGATATTCTTTTGTATATTTTTATACAAAAAAAATAAGAATACATGGAAGAAATAAGAATCTCTCATCTCTTTCTCCATGCATTCTTGTCTATTTTATTGTTTATATTGTTACTTTGAGCTTAGTTTCTTAACAATTTTTACTTTTACTTGTTCATTATGCTAAATCAAGAGAAAGACACTCTCTTTTTTTTACGTTTTACGTTTATCATTATCTACTAATTCCCCAAATCATTTCACAAGACTTTTGAAAATGTTATTATTATTACTGGAAAATTATAAAATATATATTTTATTTGTTTTAATGGGCGTAAAAAGTTCAAAGTGGACAATTAAAAGTAAACGGAGGGAGTAATTTCTATTTTTTATCCATTGAAAATGACGTTTTCTAGAACAACAAATTGAAATAAAAGCTCGCGTACCTCTCTCACGTGCTGCTTACCTTATCTCTGGTCTTAACAAACCGTTTCCAACTGTTGAGAAAGAGGCTATAAACAAACATTGGAGTATAGTTTTCTCATTTCTAAGGCCTAAGCCGCCCACAGGAACTCGACTCTTCCTTTCCTGTTTTGGTTTCTTTCCCTCTTCCCAAGTAAAATATTGAAATCAGATCCTACTGAGATAAATCATATGAGGATATGGTCCATCAACTTTCAATTTATATTTTATACAGCCATCTGAAACTTAATTCAAAAATAAAAATGAAAGGTCCAAACTTTGATGCAGTAATTGGATTAACTATTAAGGGGTCCAAGCCTTAGTTAAAAGGAGCTTGAACCTGGCTCTATCTCCAATAGCAGCATTCACTATTCAGAGCTAACCAAATCTTACATCTTCAAAATTCCGACAAACCTTAGTGCATTCTTTTAATAAATAGCGATCATAGTCATTATATACTTTTTCTAATCATATATATATAAATTAATCGTAATTGTACATAAATAATATATAAATTATGCATATATTATATTTGTTTTAAATTAACCTACAACTAACAAAATGCAGACCTTCTGCCTTGACTTTCTAGATTACTATAGTACTACTCCCCTCATTCAAAATAGAGATGACAAGTTTGATGTACAAAGTCAAAGATCTTAAATCTTTACATATAATTAAATTCAGACATCGAAAAAAAATTTGCATATTTAATGATCACATAAAAATTTATATAAGTCGAATTGTAATGAAATAAAATAATTTTGTTTCCAAAGTTAGTACGTCGCTATTTTTTTTTTTTTTTGGACAGAATAAGTAATAAAGAAACAATATAACTGTACACTTCAGTGTGCCCCAACTTGTATCTATATAATAAGTCATATCATAATTGAAACGTTTTGTATATACGATGTACAAAAGATGTTAAAATAATTTGGCCTAGCCTATTCATTAACGATCAAAGAAATAAAAAGAAAAATCAGAGCTGCTAGTAAAAAATCTGCAGAACTTTGGAAAATATGAATCCATCTCAGGCTACATCATCTAACGCTGACCCAGTCATCAGCAGCAGACCAGTCAGATTCAGGTCTGCGTTCACCAACTAATACTCGCAACCTCTCAGCCGGCGCTATGGACCATGACCCACCGTTTAAATTTAGCAATTCTTGAATTGCCGGCGAGGGCAGAGATGTAATTGAACATGCTGCTGAGGATTCAGCAGAGCCATCAGATACCCAATCTGGGAAATCAAATGGGCACCTAGGAGACGTCGAAGGACTGCCACTCCCGCATGTTTCGTCATTCAGTGTAACAGTGGCATCATCATAATTTTGATCAGCAACAAAGGGATGATTTAGAAGCATCTCAGCCGTCCATCTCTTTCTGGGGTCCTTCACAAAACACTTTTCTAGAAAATCTTTTCCTAGTTCCGATAACTTCGCGGGAAATTCAGGCAACTCATCACCAACTCCAATGGTCATCAGTAGTTGTGTTATATTTGAGTATTTCCAGACCGGAACTCCTGCTGCAATCTCAGCAACCACACACCCAAGTGCCCAGATATCGGCGGGAGCCCCCTGTTCGCCGCCGGTAACCATTTCCGGCGACATGTACAGTGGAGTACCCCTCAATTCACCTCGCCGGTTATCATCTTTCTTTGATTCGGCCCGCTTTGCCAACCCAAAATCAGCGATTTTAACTTGACCATCTTGGCCTAAAAGAATGTTTTGAAGCTTAATATCGCAGTGAATATAACCACTTTTGTGGATATAGTGTAGCCCTTTCAGTAAGGCCTTTGTGTATTTCCTGACTTCAAATTCCGGCAATCTATGATCACCTGAATTCTTGAGCTTATTTGATAAATCGCCCCCTGAAGCATATTCCAATAAGACATTGTACAACTTTTCGCCGTTTTCGTAGGAATAGTTGTCGCCAAGGCAGCGGATAATATTGGGGCAACTTTTAAGCTCATCCAAAATTATCTTTTCGTTCATTAGTGTAGCTGAACTAGAAGCGGCAGAAGATTTGACCACCATAGCTTGAGTGCTCTGCTTTCTGGGTATTGCAAAACTGACTTTGCCAAAGCTTCCATGACCTATTGCTTCACCTCTAACCCAATCCATGACTGTGTTTAATGGAAGTTTCTTGAGCTGAAATTTTGGTAATATAGGCTTTCTGTTTAAAAAAGGAAAGAAGATATCAGACGAAGGAGCAATTCATACCGAGCTCTGTTTCACACGACACTTCTATATATAGCGTGGGGGAATTTCTTTTCTTTTCTTTTTTCTTTCAAAGTATATTTTTGATACTTGACTTAGTGTATTAATGTTCACACAAGTATTAAATGAATATATGCGCTGCACCTATTTATTTTGATAATAGTACAAGTTGTGGCCTGTGGGAGAATGTGCTATTTGTACATTATTCCCTTTTATAATTTTGAATTTATAAAAATAATCTTTTTAGATCTCTTATGTATAAAGACAGATCTCTTATATGTAAAAGTAAATCTCTCATGTGTAAAAAAAAAAAAAAGTAGGATCATAAAACTAGAAATAAGTTTGTAAAGAGCCAAAAAAACAATTGACCTAAGAATGGCAATAATAAAATAAGAAGAACACGTGATAGCGGAAAGATCTTTCTTCGTAATTTGGCTAAACAGTTACATCAAATTTTAGCAACGAATTTTGGTATATTTATGAGCAAGTCAATATAGAGACGTTAACTATGATATTTCAGACTTAATTCTTATGTAAGTGTGAGTATTCATCCAAGTTGTATATGTTGATATTCTTACCACTATTATTGTGTAAGTGTGAGTAGTTATCCGTTGTTATTTTCTTATTATAGAAAAAAATTTATAATATTTGACCAAACAAGTTTTCAGAACGTGCTTGTTAAGGTGGGATGAATTTTCTTATTTTTTCAATTGGGAAAAAAAATCTTTCCCATTTACGGTCTAAAATTGAAACTTGAAACCCCACGAGAATGGGATGCTGATTGTTAGAATAGTCCGAATGACTACTGTGCCAATAGTTATTTGTTCTAGAAAAATTCATATCCCATTCTAGTATTATTACGGTTGCATTTAAAACATCCCAATCAACAAAATGGAAAAGAAAACAAAAGAGGTCTCGGTCAATGGATACAAAAAGTTGTATTGAGAGTCAGGGATTAAAATGTAATAAAAGGAAGTTTGGGGTAGTTAGTTGTATAAAAAAAATAGGCTGTTATATAGTACAGTAAATCTGGAAATCAGATTTACTTGTACATAACCGACCTTCTTCGTAACTGCTAAGCTCAATCTTTCTCTCTCTAGATTCTTCCAATTTGATCAATGGAAATTGTTGTTGCATGTGTCATGTATTGTTTCAATTGCTCAATCTAGCTCAAATTAACATGGTATCAGAGCATCGATTCTGAATTAGGGCTCCGACGTGACTTCCAGCGACCATTGAACTGAGATTTGACGAAATCGACTGTTTTAGACTAAACCGTGATAGCACGAAATGAGGTTTCTTCACTCGAACACAATCATCCATTGTTTCTTCAAGCGGCAGATGCCCCAGGACTAGTTCTAGTCCCAATTAAACTCACAGGGCCTGAGAATTACGCCTTGTGGAGTAGGGCAATGAAGCTAGCTCTTTTGGGCAAAAGTAAGCTTGGATTTGTTGACGGAACCCGTGTAAAAACTATGTTCAGAGGCAAACTCGCAGATCAATGGGAGAAGTGTAACGCGATTATACTTTCATGGATTGGTAGCACTGTTGCAGCTGAGTTGATGCCCAGCATCATGTTTGCGTCTAGTGCGAGGAAAGTGTGGAGTGATTTCAAGGAAAGGTTTGATAGATGCAGTTTGACTAGAATATATCATCTATGGACAGAAATCGCCAGTTTGAAACAAGGTACAGATTCTGTGACTACTTACTACTCATAGATGAATGATCTATGGAGTGAGCTAGATGTGTTAGTTCCTTTGTCTTCATGTGATAGTGAATAAGCTAGGCCATCCATAGAACATCTAGCTAATCAGAGGTTACTACAATTTTTAATGGGATTAAATAAAAGCTTGGTAATGTAAGGAGTAATGAGCTACTAAGACATTAGTTACTGTAAATGAAGCATATGCTATAGTAACACAGGAAGAAGGTCAAAGATCCTTGGGTGTTGGTGATGCAGATAGAGATCCTCAAACTATGTTAGCAGGAAGAACTCAAGGCTTCAAGCCTAAGAAAGCAGGGCTAATCTGTGAGCACTGTGGGTACAAAGGACACCAAAAAAAAATTGTTACAAAATTGTTGGATATCCAGTTGATTTCAAGAGTAAAAAAGAAACCAGCAGGAGCAGGAGGAAGAACCTATGTCAACAATGTAGCTGTAGAAGAATACAACAGTAGTGGAAGCCTTCCACAAGGACACTTCCTGACAGAAGAACAATATAGACAACTGGTGGGATTGCTAAACAAACCATCTGGTGGTGAGAGTTCTATCAATATGGCAGGTATTGTTGCTTTATTATCCAGTGCTTCTCTAAGAGAGTGGATAGTAGATTCTTGAGCAACACACCACATTACTTGCAATACGTAAGTTTTAAACAATACAAAAAGATTGGAGGCAAATGAAGGAAGTGGAGTGCAATTACCAACAGGAAGTAAAGCTGAGATAACACACACATATGATGCAATGATTATAGGAGATCAGTACATTAGAGATGTCCTATATGTGTCAGATTTTAAGTTTAATCTATTATCTGTAGCAAAGCTAACATAGGACCTTAGGTGCTTTGTTGGATTTTATCCTGACTTCTGCTTATTACAGGAGCTTTACAATGGCAGGGTATTGGGGATTGGTAAGAAGTCTGGAGGTTAGTATATGCTGAAGGAAAGAGGTGCAGTAGCAACGGCTGGATCAGTATCAAAAGAACACACAGAGAGTGCACTTGGCATTTCAGGCTAGGTCATGCTTCATTGAAAGCTATGAAACACATTTCATCCCTACAAGGCAAAATAAATACTAGGCAACTAGAATCTTGCTCTATATGTCCCTTAGCTAAACAATGTAGATTACCATTTCCTGTTAGTAATTCTAAGTCCACTGCTATACTTGAACTTGTCCATCTAGATGTTTGGGGACCCTATAAGGCACCCACTTATGATAGGAAAAGGTATTTTGTTATAGTTGTTGATGATTTCAGCAGATACACCTGGGCCTATTTGGTTCAATCAAAATGTGAAGTTTGTGTCGAAGAATTTTCTATCTTTAATTCAGAATCAGTTTGATATGTGTGTTAATATTGCTGTCATCAGATACACTTGGGACTGTGTACTGAGTTCTTACACAGTGTAATGAATTGCTGTCATCTCTTGGTATTTTACACCAATGTAGATGTCCTTATACACCTCAACAAAATGGGGTGGTTGAAAGGAAGCACAGACATATCTTGGAAGTAGCCAGGGCACTGAAGTTTCAGAGTGGGATTCCTATCAAATTTTATGGTGACTGTGTGAAGACTGCTGTATATTTGATCAACAGAATACCTTCATCAGTTTTGGCAAGAAAAACACCTTTTGAATTATTATATGGGAAGATTAGCAGGTTGGATCATCTAAGGGTATTTGTCTACCTATGTTATGCAAGCAATCTGCCTAAGGGAGACAAGTTTGCACCTAAAGCAAGGAAGGGAGTTTCCACAGGTTATGCTGAAACTCAAAAAGGGTACAGGTTATATGATATGGAGGCATAGTCCTTTTTTGTTAGTATGAATGTTCAGGTCAGAGAAGACTGCTTCCCTTTCAAAATGGCAATTGTTGAACAAGGTGACCCATTTCTTCAGCAACCAACTCAGCTCATAATGTCTAATCCCTGTGACAATGCTGATACTCATGATCAGCTCACATCCCCAGCACCTCCTACAGATGCATCTCTTCTTGAAGATAATGTTGAGATTGACATTGAGAATGGTCCATTACATGACCATTATATACCAGCTGTTGTTGAATCAACTGATGAAGCTAGTGAGCAGCCTGAGCCAGTAATTACTAAAACTAATGAGCAGCCTGCACCAGCAGTTATGCCACAAGATGATGTTCCCCAATGCACTACTAGCTGACCTCAAAGGAAAATAGAGCCTCCCATCTAGATGAAGGATTATGTGAATCCTACAAAAGGATCATCGGGCCACAAAAATCCTATATCCAACCATGTTGGTTATTCACATCTGTCTACCCCATATTAGTCCTATCAACAAGCTTTCTCAGTTCTCACTGAACCTAGAAGCTTCAAAGAAGCTGCAACCGACAAGAATTGGATTGAGGCAATGAAGCAAGAGGTTACAGCTCTTGAGGATAATCAGACTTAGGAGGTGGTATCCTTACCACTAGAAAAGCAAACAGTGGGTCAAAATGGGTGTACAAGATTAAATACAAGGAAAATGGAGAGGTTGATAGATTCAAAGCAAGGTTAGTAGCCAAGGGATACACTCAACAGGAAAGGCTTGACTACCATGAAACTTTTTCACTCGTGGCAAAAATGGTCACAGTTAGGACAGTCATTGCAGTAGCAGCTTCAAATGACTAGCCATTGTTTCAGATGGATGTTAATAATGCTTTTCTCCAAGGGGACTTAGAAGAAGAAGTCTACATGGAGATGCCTCAGGGTTTCCAACAACAGGGGGATTACAGGGTATGCAATAATCCCTGTATGGACTCAAACGGGCTTCTAGACAGTGGAACATAAGCTAACCACTGCCCTTGTGCAAGCTGGATATATACAAAGCCCATATGACCATTCCCTTTTTACAAAAAAAAAAAAAAAAAGAGGAGCTGATATTGTAGTCATTTGGTGTATGCGGACGACTTACTAATCACAGGAAGTAATGTTGACTTGATACACGAGGCAAAGGATTCCTTGCATGGTAATTTCAAGATGAAGGACTTAGGGGAACTGAGGTATTTTTTAGGCATAGAAGTGATGAGGTCAATAGAAGGAATAGTTCTCAATCAAAGAAAATATGCTTTGGAGTTGATCTCTGAAGTAGGGCTTAGTGGTTGTAAACCTGCTCCCACACCAATGGAACTCAATCACAAGCTAACAACTGTAGACTATGATAAGCATATGGGAATCACTGAAGACGCAGAGCTGGGAGATATAACAGCATATCGGAAACTAATAGGAAAGTTGTTATATTTGACAATCACAAGACCAGACCTATGCTTTGTTGTGTAGGTTCTGAGTCAATTTATGCAAAGACCAAAATAGTCTCATTTGAATGCAGCAATGAGAATCATCAGATACATCAAAGGTTCACCAGGCCTTGGTATATTCTTGAAGAAAGGAGAAACTCATACACTCACAGCTTACTGTGATTCTGATTGGGCTGCTTGCCCCAATACTAGGAGATCAATCACAGGCTATGTTGTGAACTTGGGAGACTCATTGTTGTCTTGGAAGTATAAGAAATAACAAACAGTCAGTAGAAGCTCGGCAGAAGCAAAATACAGGAGCATGGCAGTTGTAGTTGCAAAAATCATTTGGGTAACATGATTATTTGGAGAATTGGGAGTGAAAGTGCAAAAGCCAGTACATCTACATTGTGATAGCAAAGCTGCGATACAAATAGTAGCAAATCCTATCTTTCATGAGAGGACAAAGCATATAGAGATCCATTGTCATTTAGTGAGAGAAAGAATCAAGGCAGGCCTGATCACTACCAACTACATTCCTTCCATGCAACAACTAGCTGACTTGATGACAAAGGGCTTAGGAACAGTACAACACCAGCTATTATTCTCCAAGCTTGGAGTGCATGATGTCTTTAACACTCCAGCTTGAGGGGGAACATTGAGAGTCAGGGGTTAAAATGTAATAAAAAGGAAGTTTGGGGTAGTTAGTTGCATAAGAAAAATATGTTGTTATATAGTACAGTAAATCTGGAAATCAGATTTACTCGTACATAACCAACCTTCTTCCTAACTACTAAGCTCAATCTTTCTCTCTCTAGATTCTTTCAATTTGATCAATGAAAATTGTTGTTGCATGTCTCATGTATTGTTTCAATTGCTCAATCTAGCTCAAATTAACAAGTTGATATCAACGGTTTCCTTTTCAAGATTCAATTGTGAATTGAATCATCTCAAAGTAAAATACATAGTTTACCTATCAACCTTGCAGCGAAATCCCTGTTACACATCCCTCTTTCATGGAAAACCTTTTATACATTCAACCTTTCAAAAGCGTGTCTAAGACACACCACTTTTGTGCTTGACCAATTTTTCAGATAACGTGAAAGTCACGCCTTAATAGGGTCGTGACACGTGTCATTGACTTTAAAAAGGAAAAAAATATTAGAAATTGAAATTAAAACCCATCTTCTTCATCTTTCCATTTTCTATCTTAAGCATCATTGTTGCTACCACCATGGTTCTTCGTGAGAAAGTTTCCAACAACAACAAAATTCAACCACACTATCTAAACAACTAGCCAAAAATAATCGAGCAACAAATTGAGTTCAATAACCCAATAATCAACAAGACCCAATTGAATTTTCAAGCTTTTTTCGATACCCAACAATGGTGGATTCTAGATTTTCTTTACCAAATCTTCAATGCTAATGTTAAAACTTTTAAATCATCACAAACAAATAGTTTTCACAATATCTGGACAATAAACCAACAAAATGCGCTCAATTTTAGATCTAAATTTGATATGTTCTTTCAAAAATTTTATTTGGGGAAGAAAGTGAGAGGAAGAGTGGTGAGGAAGAAGACCAGAGGGAGGGGAAGGGTTCCTGTGGGGAGGGGAGATAAAAAATGAGATTTTTTACGGGCTTCACGCACCTTTTTTGTGTGTAAACACGCAAGTGCTATCTGGTCAAAAGTAATGTGTCTTAGACACACTTTTGAAATGTTAAGTGTATAAAAGGTTTCCCTTGAAAGACATGTGTATAACAGGGATTTCGTTGCAAGGTTGATGGGTAAACTATGTATTTGCCGAAGTATTGTACATGAATGACGGCTAATAAGTGAGTCCAATAGTCACAGAATCTATTGCTCTTCCTATTTAATTGGTTTCTCTCAACAATTAGCCACCACTAGTCGCAATCACTCGTCTTCATTGCTCTAGTGGGTTTTAGTATTCTTTTTACTGTTACTTCCTAGTTCCTAATTCATTGCATTGCAAATTGCGTTTGACTAATCATAATACTAAAGATTAGCTCCTATTAAAGCTAGCAGTCCTCGGTATTTATTTGACGCCGGAAGCTATGAGAATTTTCTAGTTGCTGAGAAAGTTCATATGCAAGAAAACATTATATGTAGAAACAACACTTAAAATTCTTTGTGAGGGCGGGCCTTTTTCTTTTTGGGTGTTTTGGGGTTGGGGGGTTCATGGAAATATGAATGGTTAAAGTATCTAGTCAACAACTTAATCAACTCCTCCCTTTCCTTTGCCCTACTGATACTCATATATTTTAATGGAAGAAATAGGCAAACGATCGTTTTATAGTAGTAGTTAATCTATATTGGTTGCTTAACCTTTTGTCTTATTACTTCTTCTTTTTGTTCAGGTGGATGTTTGAAAATTGAAACTTAGGTCTATTGTTGGCAAAAAGAAATTGGGAAAGGATAAATAATAAGGAACATCAGGAAGAAAGAAAATTAGGATAGGAAGAAGGTGCAATTGTCTGAAGCAAAAGAAATTACCATTTGTTGACCTTGGATGAAGAGAAAGTAAATAATTAAAAATACAGTCTGTACGAACCGGTAGAAACGATATCAAATTGTTGGGATTATTGAAAATTAGAATAAGTTATGTAGGGGGTATGGAGTATGGACACACGATTTCACAATTTACAGCCATATTGTTTGATGTGGAAATATTTAGTCCTACTATGCTCCCCACATGGGTGTCCAATCCCTGCTTAGGAACTAGCTATCTTGTTAAATATTATTATTAAGAGTAAAATGCATCCGGATTAGGAGCATGTTAATGTATCAAGGGCTACTAAATCATTTCCATTGCTGGTACAATGATATGAAATCGAAAGGAAACTCGTAAAACGCAGCAAATCAGGAGCATAGACATTTAATAATTGCTACTAAATTAATTTAACTTTGCTTGTACTATGATATGAACTCGAAGAATAAAAGAAAAAAGAAAAGAGAAGGTCAGAAAGGATCTGCTTTGCGGCGCGCCGGCAGCAACACCAGATTTTGCGCAAAACTTGCCTTGCCGGTGACTGCCGTTGCGCGTAAAAGGTGTACTAGGTACAGAAAGCTAGGGGGAGGGGGGAAAACCTCAATTTGATGCCTTACCCAATAACAAGTTAATACTGCTGATTCTCTTGCGTATGGAACAGATTTTCGTAGTTTTTGGTTTACCCATCCAAATGATTTTTCCCTAATTCGTTTCCTAATACAGACATTAGAGACCACCTTAATTACTTTTGGTTTTACGAATAAATCTCATTAAATTATGTCAGTCCTTTGATTCTACCCCTAAGACAAAGGGCTGGATGCATATTTAATTTCGCTCTCTCAGGGGTCGTTTGGTAGAATGCATTAGATAAAATAATGGATGCATTATTTTTGTGTATTAATAATACTTTGTTTGGTACACTTTTTAAATCTGCATTAGTTATGCAAGTATTAGTTATACCCTATTTGATATTATCCTATGCATCATAGGAAACCATGGTACATATTAATAATGCAATGAGTTTTAATACATGCATTAGCTTAGTTAACG